AAAAAAAAAGTTCATGGAAGTCTTTTCTGTCAAGTAGCAGGTGTTCAACAGCTCGGAGTGAAAATGGAATGAATAGCTGTTTATGACTGGTAACATATACATTTCTTTATTTCTCACAGCACAAAACATTATGTGTTGAAAGTGAGACTGTTTTAGAAAAAAGTGTCATAAGTACAAAAATCTGAAATTTACTGACAGCTTCTTATGTGCTTAGTTTTGTAGAAAGTATAAAAGCTAAAAAACAAGAATGCAAAAAAGGCAAACATTCTTTTTTCTCAAGGTACAATCTACTTAGTGGAATTAAAAAAAATGTTTTTTAACGTTTATTTATTTTTGAGACAAAGAGAGAGACAGAGCATGAACGGGGGAGGGGCAGAGACAGAGAGACAGAGTCGGAAGCAGGCTCCAGGCTCTGAGCCATCAGCCCAGAGCCCAACGCGGGGCTCGAACTCACAGACTGCGAGATCGTGACCTGAGCTGAAGTCAGACGCTTAACTGACTGAGCCACCCAGGCGCCCCTTAGTGGAATTTTAAAGCTAATAACCACCAAGTACTAACTATGAACCAAGCATTGTCTAAGTGCTTTACATGTATTATCTCATTTAATCCTTGTGGTAGGCACTAGGACTGTTTCCATTTTATAGATGAGAAAATTGAACCATGGAGAGCTTACTCTAAGGTTATACAGCTAGTTAGTATAGAACCAGCAAGTCTGGTTCTAAATCCTTTTTTCCCCCAAATTTATTTATTTATTTTCAGAGAGAGCAAGTGGGGGGAGGGGCAGAGAAAGAGGGAGTGAGAGAGAATCCCACGCAGGCTCTATGCTGCCAGCACAGAGCCCAACACAGGGTCCAACTCTGGAAACTGTGAGATCATGACCTGAGCAGAAACCAAGAGTTGGACGCTTAACTAACTGAGCCACTCAGGCATCCCTAGAGCCCATTCTTAACCACAACAATAAAGATTCACAAAACACGTTGTGCTAATTACTAAAATACGCAATATATTCCAAGGGCCAAGTAAGAGGAATAATAAATTAATACAATGGGTATCTAGGGGACAAAGAAATAACTGTGAAAATTAATAGTTAAGGAATGCTTTGTGGAAAATGTAAGAATTGAATTCATCTTTATTATTTATTATTTAAAAAAATTTTTTTTAACGTTTATTTATTTTTGA